GTATAGTGATCCTGTCAGAGCAGGATAGTGATCCTTTCTTCCCTGCCCCTGTTTTAGTTATTTATCACTGTGCAGGAAGCCTAGTGGCTGCAAACAGCCACCCGTATCATGTTCCCTTTCAGGTCCTGTGGGACGGGGCTTGGCGTCTTCTGACCAGAGCTTTGAGCCTGTTCATTCCGGTTCGACCCCCTGCTGAGAATTTGCATTTCCACCCCAGATATCCTGAATCAGAATCTACATTTTAACAAGATCACCTGGGGGATCGATAAGACTCACCAGGGGATCTTGTTAAAATGTTGACTCTGAATTCAGTATATCTGGGATGGCAATGCAAATTCTCAGCAGGGGGTTGAACCAGAGTGAACCTGTTCGAAGCCCTGATTCTGACTTGGCCTTGGGTGGGCCTGGAGGGTTTGCATTTCTACCAAGCTCCCAGGTGATACCCATGCTGCTGGCCCTTTGAGTAGCAAAGGGGCTTGACCACTTGTTTTTAAATTTGGCTGACATGGCAAACACCTATGGGATGCTTAAAACCAACGAATGCCTGGATGCTTCTCCCAGAGATTCTGATTTAATAGGTCTGGGATGCGGGGTGTTGGGGTTTTTAAAAGCTTCCTAAGTGATTCCAATTTGTAGCACCATTTGAGAACCGCTGGACCAGACGGCACTGAGCTCCGTCTGAAAACGAAACGCTCTAGGCAGTGCTCTGCAGGCCTCTGTTGCCGCCACCGCCATCTTCTTCTTGTTTTTATTTTCTTTTAATTGTACTTTAGGTGAAAGTTTATAGAGCAAACTGGTTTCTCATTCAACAGTTTATATACACAAATTGTTTTATGACGTTGGTGGCAATCCCTGCGTTGTGTCAGCCCTCTCCCCTTCTCCATCCTGGTGGCTTCTTTTTGAAGAGTCAGTTTGTAGCTGTAGAAAGAGTGGCCACACTCATGGATAACCTCCAGATCTGTGCTTACTGGGACTGGGGGTTTCTCCAGGGTCCCTACCGCACGCTGTCACGTAGTGGCAGAAATAGAATTCCTACCTTTAGGAGAGCTGTCGTTTCAAGTAGAGTAGCAATGGGCACACAGAAGCCTGTCTGCTAACGGTGAGGATGGAGTAAATACGCTCCCTGGCAGTAGGTGCTTGTGCAGAGGGAGAGCAAGAGGTGAAGCAGAGACACTCTCCGTCAGTTTTTTCTCGTAATTTCTAGCAAGTTCTCATGCATAGCTTTTGGGTTGGTACTAAACTAACCCGTTGGCCATCAAAAGCAGACATTTCAGACTACTGAAAATCGACAAGGCAGATCCAATTGACAGGTTAATAACTGACTGCTAGACGTAGCTACTGAAAATGGTCTTGGAAACACTGGGCAGGAGAGACAACTCCAGACAAATTCTCTCAACCTCCCCGGTCTGTATCTGCTCATCTCCACATGCACGTTCCTAAGTGTGGGTAGTTCCTGGGTGGTGCAAACAGTTAAGTGCTCAGCTACTAACTGAAAGGTTGGAGGTTCGAATCCACCGAGAGGTGCTTCAGAAGAAAGGCCTGGCAGTCTACTTCTGAAAAATCAGCCACTGAAAACCCTATGGAGCAAAGTTCTACTCTGACACACCCCGGGTCGCCGTGGATTGGAATTGACTTAATGGCAACTGGTTTATGCTGCAAAAAAAAAAAAAAAAAAAAAAAACACTAAATAAACAAATCCCAAACATGCATGTATTACAGAGTAGAACTGTGCTCCATAGGGTTTCTTTGGCTATAATTTTTATGGAAGGAGATTGCCAGGCCTTTCTTTCATGGAGCACTGGATGGGTTTGAACTGCCAGCCTTTATGTTAGCAGCTGAGCGCAAAGCAGTTCTGCCACTCAACCCACCCAGTTTCTTTGCCAAGTGATTTACTCTGTTTTAACAGAGCCTGGGGAACTTTGCCATTGAAATGCCTTCAATCCCTTGTATGTAGACTGAGTTTTGCTTTTTTTTTCCCTGGCTGCTCTAGATTGGGCGACTGATTATTGGACAGAATGGCATCCTGTCAACCCCTGCTGTCTCCTGCATTATCCGAAAGATCAAGGCAGCTGGAGGAATCATCCTAACAGCCAGCCACTGCCCTGGAGGGCCGGGAGGAGAGTTTGGAGTCAAGTTTAATGTTGCTAATGGAGGTATGTGGTTCAGAATATGCCTTCCTAATCATGATTTCTTTTCTGTTATCGTAGTTCTACAGTAACCCTCAAGGTCCCTGGATGGCGCAAATGGTTTGCGCTCATCTACTAACCTTAAGTTTGGCAGCTTGGATTCACCCAGTGGCACCACGGAAGAAAGGGCTGGTGATCTGCCCCCCTAAAGATTACAGCCAAGAAAACCCTGTGGAGCAGTTCTACTCTGTAACACATGGAGTTGCCATGGGTTTGGAATTGACTCAGCAGCAACGGGTGCAGTGACCCTCTGATGGTAGACAAGCGAGGCGGAGAGGGAATGATGACCCAGAAAAATCCAGTTTCCTGCCCAAGGTGATAGACAGGGAAGTGCATAGTGGGAGCTTGAATTCTTTCGGTCTCTTGGTGTCCTGCACCCCCAGCACAGTGAACCGTTGAATGGTTGATGCCTATCTGCTATAAAGGAGCTCTGGTGGCGCAGTGGTTAAGAACTTGGCTACTAACCAAAAGGTCGGTAGTTCAAATCCACCAGCCGCTGCTTGGAAACCCTATGGAGCGGTTCTGCTCTGTCTTATGGAGTGGCTATGAGTCGGAATTGACTCAGTGGCAATGGGTATCTGCTATAAAAGGACTCTGGGTTTGAAAGTTGGAGCATTCCCTCAGGGTCACTGAGACCGTCTTTCTCACTTTCCTGAGGAACAAACCGAAGACCTGAGTGGCCCAGTTACCTGCTGAAGGTCACATGGCTGGTCAGGGTCAGACAAATATTTTTAGCCTAAGTCCTGGGTTCTCTCTTTCCTATAGTGTTGACTTTGTTTTACTGAAATCCATAGAATTATTTCATTTTTTTCTCTTATATATTCCCAGAAATTTGTAGTTTGAAAGTCCTAGAGGATTAACCTGTTGACATCGAGTCGATTCAGACTCATAGTGAGTCTATAGGACAAGAACTGCCCCCATAGGATTTCCAAGGTTGTAAACCTTTGTGGAAGCAGATCACCAAGTCTTTCTCCTGTGGAGCAACCGGTGGGTTCGAACTGCTGACCTTTTGGTTAACAGCCAAGTGCTTAACCACTGTGCCACCAGAGCACCTTCTCTTGTGGCTTAGGGTATGGGTAAATTTTGTCTTTTAATTGGAACATAGTAGAGAACAAATAGAGAGAATAATATATGGACATCCACGTATCGATTGCCTTGTTTTTGCCATTTTGCTTATCTTTTATTTTTCTGAAGAATTTTAAAGTACATTACAACATCAAGGCATATTTCACACCTAAATATTTCTGTATGCACCTCTAAAAAAGAAAGAGCTTTTTTATGTAAGTATCTTATCACACCTAACAAAAATAACACTCATTCCCTAATACCATCTAAAACATAATCTAAATTCAGATTTTCTCAATTGTCCCCAACATGTTATTTACAGCTGTTTTGTTCAAACCAGGGTTCATCGCAAAACCATGCCTTGCGTTTGGTTAGGTCTTTTAACCTAGGATGCCCGTCTGTCTTGTATGTGGGTGGGAGCTGAATTTTAACAACGACAGTTACCATCGGAGAAGAGGATCTAGCGTCCTGGAATTGGTTTTACTTTTGGAAATCAGTCTGCTCTGGCATTAAAAGTCAGCTAGAGATTTCTTTTTAAAAATGGTGGACACAGCCAAAGATTCGTGTGGTTGATGAGGCCAGGACTATATTCACGCGCTCTCTAATCTGGCAAACATTAAAAAAAACTGCAAAAACTGGACAAGACGCTACTTTCTTTTTAAGTTTTGCGAGGGATGAAAAATGGGAAAGAGTGAAGAAGAAGGGCTCTGTCTATTTCTTTGAGGTCTTCACTTTTCGTATAAGGCAAGAAACGTATGGGTGCTAGGTGTTAGGGGTTCTTCTCTCGCACCTGCTAGAATGGAGCTATGGTTCCTTTGTCTTGGGAGCCTGCGGTGGTGCTGGGCTCTGAGGCAGCTCCAGCCAATTGAAATACATTGTGAGTCACGCATCTAATTTAACATTTTCCAGTAGCTATGTAAAAAAAAAAGAAAAAAGTAAACAGAAACAGGTAAAATTAATACCATATTTTATTTAACCTAATCTGTCCAGAATGTTGTCATTTCAGCTCGTTATCAGTGTACCATATTAAAACACCGAACCAATCGAGTTGTGTCTGACTCATAGTGCTCCTATAGGACAGAGCAGAACTGCCCCGTTGGGCTTCCTAGGCTGTGATCTTTATGGGAGCAGATTACCAAGTCTTTCTCCTGCAGAGCTGCTGGGTGGGTTTGAACTACCAACCTTTTGGTTAGCAGTTGAGCACTTTAAGCTTTGTGACATCAGATTCAAACACAAATCTCTATCTATCTATCATTTATACTTTAGATCTTTCAATCTCCTTATTTGATTCCCAACTTTGTAAAAAGTATCAAAACTCTGGTGGCACAGTGGTTAAGAGTTATGGCTACTAACCGAAAGGTCGGCAGTTTGAATCCACCAGGTGCTCCTTGGAAACCCTACAGGGCAGTTCTACTCTGTCCTATACGGTCGCTATGAGTTGGAATTGACTCGACGGCAATGGGTTTGGTAAGGTGGCTTGCACTGAGATATACAAATTGGAAAAAAAAAAAAAAAGAAAGGAGGACAATTCTTTGTTTCATGTTCAGTTCATTTCCAGTCCGTTGTGGATGTTGGGTGCTGGGAGTCAGTTCTGACTCGTGACGATCCCATGTGTTGTTACAGAGTAGAACTACCCCATAGGGTTTTCTTGGCTGTCATCTTTACAGAAGCAGATTACCAGGCCTTTCTTCTGTGGTGCCAGTGGGTGGGTTTGAACCATCAGCCTTCTGGTTAGCAGCCGAGTACCTAACCATTGTGCCACCAGGGCTCCTTAGTTGAAGTCTATGACTATTTCATTGCCAACTTGATCTTGTGAGAAGATCCATGTTTTTTGCTAAGCCTCATTTCAAAAATTTGGGAGCGACTAGAGCGTGTCGGAGTCTGGGAAAACTACTAATTTACGCCTTTAAGCTCGTACATCAGCTAGGCAGCGGAGCTGGGAGAAGAAATCAAAATTTGTTTTTCCCTAGGTGCATTTGGGAAGCTACAGTTTATGTCTGGAATCCCTCAGTTCTGTCAAAGGTACATCCTGTTTGTGTCCATATCCTGAATAAAGCTGATTACATAACCAGATCTCCCAGGCAGGTGTGAAACTATTTATAGGGGAGAGGCATCATTGCTTAAACGTGGATTTAAACAAACAAATGAACACCAAACATGTGGGTTATTAGTCTACATGGTACAGGTGATGCCGACCAGATTTCCTCCATGGTGGATAAATACAGCGGAGGAAATAGCGAGGCTGATAGAGCTGTGAATGTTGTCCATTGTCTAGAGAAAAAAATGAATCTTTCTCCTGCCTGGTGGCTGAGGAGGTAACACTTCTCTGACTGAAATTCCTGAGACTTTAAAAGAAAAAATTACTTTTGTTGATGAGTTATGTTCAAATTTTAGGTCCTGCACCAGATGTTGTCTCAGACAAAATCTATCAGATCAGCAAGACAATCGAGGAGTATGCCATATGCCCTGACCTCCGAATCGACCTGTCCCGACTAGGACGCCAAGAGTTTGACCTGGAGAACAAATTCAAGCCGTTCAGAGGTAACGGAGTCCTTGTGTTTTGGAGATGATGTCAGAATAACTCTGAGGATGAGGGTGACTGTGGTTTCCACAGGGGAGCGTGTTCGTGAAAATGATCCAATTGTCAGACTCATGGGCAACTCTTGATAAAGAGATAAGAAGAATGTGGTGCAGAAAGAAAGAACAGCCAAGGTATTCACAGCTGGAAACTTCAAAAACGAATTTCCAAACGCTGCATCATTTTCTTTTGTTGATAATATTTTATTGTGTTTTCGGTGAAAGTTTACACAGCAAATTAGGTTCCCGTTTTCCCATTTGACAATTTCTACACAGAGTGTTGAGTGACATTAGTTACATTCTTCACGATGTGTTCACATTCTCTTTCATTGCGTTCTGCTTGTTCTAGTTCCTGTACTCCGGTTTCCCTGCCCCCTTATCCTCTAATCTTTTTGGTCTCATATGGATGGTTTTCTCATGGCACACCGTGCTCACGGATAATATCCTTTACTTTGTGTGCCAGCGTGTTATCTCGATGCAAGGTGACCTCGGGATGGTTTCAGTTTAAGGTTTAAAGAGTATCTCAGAGTCATAGTCTTAGGGAGCCCTTCAGTCTCAACTGGTCCAGTAAGTCCGGACTTCGTAAGAATTGAGTTCCGTTCTGCATTTTTCTCCCATTCCGTCAGGGTCCATCTATCGTGACCCTGATCAGAACAGTCAGTCGTGATAGCTGAGCACCATCTGTATAATTTTCAATGAAGGGAAGTTTCACTGCTGAGTCTCTTAAAGCATTCCAGGTATGGACTGTGACTTGCCAAAATGTGTCTTTGCTTTTTTAAGCAATTCAGGTGAAGACACTGGGATGCCTTAGATAGGTAAGAAGAAACTCAGCAGGATACCAGTTACACCAGTTGCCATTGAGTTGATCCCGACTCATGGTGACTTCAGGAGTGTCAGAATAGAACTGTGCTCCATAGGGTTTTCAATGGCTGATTTTTCAGAAGTAGATCTCCAGGACTTTTTTCAGAAGTACCTCTGGGTGGACTTGAACCTCCAACATTTTGGTTTAGCAGCCGAGTGCGTTCACCATTTGCACACCCAGAGACCCCCCGCAGCAGGACAGTGGAGTTATTAACATTCCACATGGAAGGTGGGAGTTTCTTTTCTAAGTCAGAACCATGCGGTTCATTTTAATTTGATGCAAATTATCGCTTACCTGCTGTATACCAAGCACTGTGTTAGCAGATTTACAAAGGAACTCAGTAAATACCAACTGTATTTAGGTAAGTGGCTCAAGAATTAAAGAACCAGGATGAAATTACCAAAAATATTATGCTATATTGTAGAAGGAGTAACACTTCTAAAGTACTCAGGA